TGGCAGCATCGCACCGCAGGCTGACGAAATGTCAGATCTGGAGAAAACCACCTTCCCCTCCCAGCGTATCGCCCCCCCAGTGACAGCAGCAGTCTCCACACTAAGACCCAGGGGTGATGCAGGTAGAATAATACAGTTCCAGTAGGTAGGAGGTGCTTGGTAAACTAGTATCTATGTCACCGTCATCAGCACAATTATCAGAAAGCACAGTTCTCAGGGTTAGGTACAAAGCACACTAGATTAAACCAGAAAGGGCGCTGTGTTAGTGTAAACAGTATGGAACATGAAACAAATGGCATGTTGCTGACCTCGGTTACAAAATAGCGAATGAGTGAAATGTCAGTGTCCAGCTTCTCCAGACACTTTCGGATGTAACTGACAACAGGAAGTACATAACCTCGACTCAGCAGGTGCACCATCCTGTCCAACAGGGTCTTCTTCAACTCCAGCTACAAGAGTGGACAGAGAAGTCAGTTAGAGAGGGCCCTCACCTGGGCTGCCCAGCACCCCGCCCACTCACCTGCTCCATCACATCCAGCTGGGAATGCTCTGTCTCAAAAAGCTTCACAAGCAGCTGCAGGACCTGGGGGTGCAGGAGCTGGTGGCAGGTGCTGATCTGCAAACAGGCCAGGAGCGCTGCTGAGCACGAGGGCAGTCCCTGGCTCATCATCAGCACACAGAGCCACTGTCACAGCCACCAAACAGCTTATCCCAGTCCCCCACACTCAGCCCAGACTGTCAGCTTCACTTGATAGAAACTGAGACATCTACACAGTTAATGAAATGAGGTCCTCAAAGTAAAACCCTCGTTTAGGATAGAAATTACTCTGATGAGCCCTTGCCGTTTTGGCTCAGTGGTTAGAGTGTCAGCCCACGGACTGAGGAGTCCAGGATTTGATTCTAGCCAAAGGCACGTGCAGCGGGCAACCAGTCAATGTGTCTCTCTCGATGTGTCTCTCTCCCTCTCTGTCCCCGCTCCCCCTTTCCGCTCTCTAAAAAACAACAGAAAAAATATCCTCAGGTGAGGATTTAAAAAAACAAAGCAAAAAAAAAGAACTCTGATGAAAATATCTTCTGAGCTCACTAAACAGATGTGCTAGAAACACAGGCACAAACAGCATGAGGCAGAGTGCAGCAGGTCCTGAAAAATGTTTCGTTCAACGTCATTTTGTTCTGACACTGATGGGATGCTGGAGGCACTAACTCTGGTTCCTATGACCTATGGTCAGACCATTTCCCTTAAAGTTGCAGCACCTACAGACAGCGGGCATTAAGTGAGGACCCACTGCGTGCTGTGTGGCCCTCTGGCCTACCTCATCCAGCAGCGCCAGGTGCACGGGGGTGTGGTCAGTCTGCAGCTGGAAGTACCGTGGCTCCGACACGGTCCAGTCCACCCATTTCAGCACACCCATCGCCACCACTGGAAACCTGCCGATAACAAGGCACAATGCTCACTTTCAACATTTTTTCAAAAACAAACACCAAAACCAAACAGAAAGGTTTAAAAAAACAATGACAACAAGCTCAATCTACCCCCTCAATTCTCTGATACGCTTTGCAGGGAGACGCCCAACAGTGAGGGAGGAGATGGCACCCTCCCAAGGCGCAGGAAGAGCTGCACTTGGCGCTCAGCTTTACTGTCCTCCCTGCTGGACAGCAGAGTGTCCACTCGAGCCTGAGGGAGCTGGAGGATGCGCTGAAGTTCACTGTTATTTAGCAAACCTGCCCCTTGTCCCTACATCACAGGCTAACAGGAAAAGATTCAGGTGCCTAAGAAACACCTGATTTATATGCTTTTCTAGTGAATTCTTTTTTTCCTCTAGTGAATTCTTACTGACATAATTGGCACAATTGCTGGTCTAACTTACTGTAAATAGACCCTTCTCTCCAAATCAATTTCTGTGACTCTGCTTGGCCCTCCTTTTTGTCAGTCTAATTTGTAAACAGACTTCTGTCGAGTGCCACCTGAAAATCACTCCTACTGCTGAAATAGTTTAAAGTTCTCTATATACGTTCAACAAGACGAAGAAAGTATTTTTGAGGCTCCTGTGGGTTTCTGAGCAACTCCTCCCCTCCTCCCAGGAGGATGGAGCTGGCACGCAGGCCATCTGCTCACCTGATGCACTGGTAGAGCGTGCTCAGCTCGGCCACCAGCTCCGAGGCCCCCTTGTTCTCGTTGCAACACAAGTTGTGAACAGTTTCGACCGCCTTCGCTGTCGACTTCAGCTCATCTTTGTTGATGCTCACTCGCTTGTTCTGGAAATATGTCCCATGAGCGAGGCCCACGGAGCACACGCCTGGCAGCTGTAGTGACCTGCTATGGGCCCCTTCTCCCTGCAAAGCCCCTCCCTACTCTGAAGTCAGGAGCCCATTTAAGTGTCATACACCCCCATGACTATGAATACACTAAAAAAACCCACTCCTGACTAGATGGGCTCATGATTTCTTGCACTTGTGCCCCTGACAGTACCTTCTTCCAGGTCTCCACCACGCTGGCCGCATACGCCAAGATGTGGATGTACTTGTGCTTGTGGTCCTGGTTGATCCTGGCACCAGGTTTGAAGAGCGACTGCATGAACAGGTCCAGGAAGGCCGGCACCCGGATCTGAGGACGCACGAGGCGTTGGAAAGGGCCGAAGAAGAGAGATGGCAGGTAAGTCCAGGCACACCCATGGTGGCAGGCCTGAGGGCGGTAGGGCTGAGGCTGCACCACACCCAGCAGCTGCTCCAGTGTATAGGCTCAGTGCGGGATGGGGTCAGGAAAAGCACAGAAACATTGCAACAGGAATTTGTACTCACTAAAAGAGAACTAAGAGAAACACAGACTTCCCACAATCCCCCTTCCAATCAGCACTGGGGTGTCCCGCTTTACTGTGAAAATGAGAAGCCACCTACGAGCTCCACAGGAGGCGGGTCCATGCTTGTGAACATCTTGAACAGGACTGTGATGTCAGCTGGATTCAGGGCTCCTTTGGACAACATAGCCCCAAGGGCCTGGCAAGCCCTGGGGTAGGAGGCAGCTGTGCCTAGTGCTAGCGTGATCTGACTGGCGTCGTGGCCTCTGGATGAAAACAATCATATATCCCATCGTTACGAAGGGGGGACATAGCATTAATAACCCCTTCCTCCCCTTTTTCTCATTTAATGCTTTGACTGCTGGGATCCCTGTGTGTTCCTATTCCTGCCTTTCACCAGTACACTGACTAACTGACCCATGAAACAAGACATGGAGCTACTAGGAAGGAAGGGTTCCGATACAGCTTGCAGACTTTCTAAAAGGAACCACACACTTTCTAAATACCTTAAGTAGGACTCCACTAGTAAAAAATAAAAATAAGAGCTAACCTTGCTCTACAATATGGGCTACAATATAACAATTAGACAATAACCATTTCAAGACTATTCTTATTTGCTATTGATAAATCCCAATATATGAAAATACAGGTTCGTAAATCCAGTAAGTTGAACAATCATCAAGTACTTAAACCATTCATCAAAGCAATACTTGAGGAAGCAAACCCTCCACACATACTAAAGTTTCCCTGACTTCTCCAGCTCAGGGGTAAAAGGCAGGCTGCCTATATGTCAAGCTAAGGGGACGAGAGTCTTCGGTTGTGGAAACGGGCAATGGGGGCCTTATGGGGGGCACCAAGAAGGACTAGGGTGAGCATGAACACTGCCTCACTTCTCCTGGGCAAAGCGCTGGACCTCCTGGGCAATCCTGCGTACGGCGGAGCCACCCTGCTCCTCCTGGGCCAACACGGACATCATGGCCTGGGCAAACAGGTACGTGTGCTCCCCATGGCACACCATTTTCTGAAATATTGCAGGGAGAGAGAGTTTGGGCTTTCACGATTGCAGCAACAACAGAGGAGAAAAGAGCAGATGTCACAGTTCTTCTGCAGGAAGTTACCATCTGGAAGGAGCCTTAGGCCTGGACGTTCTCTAAAGAAAGGAGCATTTCATACTGGAAATGCTCGACCCAACTGCCTCCTTCTGCTCTGAGATAAACAAAGAACTTACGGCAAACTCAGGAAGGTTTTTTTCAAGGTTTTCTTCTCCTCCATCCAGAATTGTAGCCAGAGAGGTACGAAGTACTCTAGAGAAGACCTCCAGCTGCTGGCACGCTGTAGACACACTGGTTATCTCCCCTTGGTACCCTGCGTCAGAAATAAGCTACGACACAGAAATAAGGAACCAAACACAGCATCAGCACCAAATGTGTAGCGACCACACATTTCACAGAAAGTTGACTTGTTGTCAGTAGTTGTGGTGAGATGGAGCAGGCAAGCACTGGTGTCAGGTCTCATCCCTTTACTTTGATCCCTGCTTCGCCTCTAACTAGGTTTGTGGCCCAGGCTGACCACCTGGCTCGGGTTCTTTTTAAGATGAAGGAGACAGACCAGGCATTCCTAAAGGTCCCTCTTGGGACACAACAGACTCTATAAATATGTTCCTGCAAAATCCTAAAACACCAGATATGATCCAAAAACAGATACAAATTCTGTGCTTTTCTTTCTCAATGTAAGGCTTACTAAAAGTGAAACGATGAAGGCCTTTACCAAAAAAGCAAATATGATCTTTCAAGGGAGAAAGGCGACCCACCAACCAACCGACCAAAATAACTGTCACCCATGACCGTTTTTGTCTTTTCTCTGACTCTGGCCCTCTTCCTACCTTAACAGTGAAGTTAAGCATCAGACAGTCTGGATGGGCTTCGGCCAGTTTATAGAAAAGATCTCTCCAAGTGGTATGTGCAATCATTTGTTCAAGCCAAGCTGGGGTCTACCAACAGACAGACAGACACAGTGAGAGAAGAGGCCCAGCGTTAGCTTAAGTGAAGTCTGTGTTGTCCAAACAATCACAGGATATTCCAGCTGAACAGCAGAGTCCTGGGGGCATCAGGTGTGGCCCCACAGTCCCAGAGCTGCTCATGCCCCACTGAGTGGCAGAGCTGAAGGCTGCTCGTGGCTTCTTGGAGAGCCGACTCCGCACAGGGCATGTGGCAGTGCTTCCTGGAGATTTTCAAGAGTCCCGCGGAAGCGTGTGCACAGGAGTGGCATCACATGCACACTTGCCTCCTGCTAAGTCAGCTGTGCACCTGGGCACACAGCAAAAGGCAACTGAAATAGCGCAGGTGGCTTTGCCCATCACCCATGAAGCGGCATGAGAATGACTCTCAGCTCTCCTACTGTGTGGCTGCAGGGGCTGCACTCTGAATCCACCAGCCCTCTGTGCCAAAGCCAGGCTTCCCACAGGCTGCTCCTGGACACTAACAGAGTGGCAGGGCTCCAAGGGCTCCAGTGACAGGTGATTGTCACTTGCAGACTCTGTGGTGACATTGCTGGAACTTTCTGACAACTGCACTGTTATCTGAGGCCCTTCTTATGCAACAGCCCTTCCCTCCCTCAGACCTGCATCACAGCTCCCGCAGCCTCCTCCAGCCACTACCCATCTTCCCTGCAGGTGTGTCCCCAAAACCTCCTGCACACTAATCCAGCCCTGGGGTCTGCTTTTTGGACGACCTAAAAGAACACACCACAGCACCCTAGAGCCTGTGCCCCAGAGTTAGCATGGCATGGGAGGTGTAGGTCTTTCTCTAGAGCTGTTCTTTCTCTAGAGCTGCTACCTGTGTGCCTCTCCCCACTAGACCAAGTGTGGCATTTAAAGGGCAATTCTGACTGTATGCAACTTCTGCCTCACACCCTCATTTTAGTCCCCAACTCTTACATTTCTTGCATAATGTACCACACTCCACTATACACGTGGAATTTGCAAAAGACCCTAGTGACTGGTATTAGAAGAAAAATGATCCCTCACCTCTCCCTCTTCAGTAAAAATAGAGTCTGCCTTGCGGGGGTCAAAATGTTTGATCAATAAATTCTTCAAGTGATTCTCCACGGTCTCCTGCACCTGCACAGGTTCAACGCCTGCGAAAGAATAGCAACCGCTCAATTCACTGTTACTTTAGAAAAAGTAGACAGATCCAGTCTATACATGAATCAAATATCATAGAACTGCTTCTGACAACTTAGGCTTTGGGACCTCTTCTAAAAAGTTTTATTTATTAATCACGCTCAATGGTAAGAACCAAAGGAGCACAGAGCAGACACAGAATGCTCTACCCTTGCCTACAGGGACAGGACATCTTCAAACCTGGCCAAGGACAAGGACAAATGACTGAAAAGACAGGCAGGAGGCCCGGCCGGGCGTGGCTCAGCGGTTGAGCGTCGACCTAGGATCCAGGCGATCAGGGTTCGATTCCGGGTCAGGGCACATGCCTGGGCTGCAGGCTCGATCAATGCCTCTCTCATCATTGATTGATGTTTCTATCTCTCTCTCTCCCTCTCCTTTCCTCTTTCTGAAATCAATAAAGATATATTTAAAAAAAAAAAAAAGACAGGCAGGAGGACAGAAAGGCAGGCGCCTGCCCAGGAGGAGAGATGCCAGCGAGGAGAGACACTTGTGTCTAATCACTGTGACAGCAACGAGAGGACTCGTTTCCAGGAAGTCTTACTCAGTGAAGTGCCCGCAGCCAGTTCAGTGACTGACAGCAAGGTTCTACTCTGATCACATTTGCTGAAAGCCACAGACAATACTCAGTCTTAAACTGTCCATTAGCTGCTGCTTGCTCTAACAGGCCTCTGAAAATGGCACCCTGAACACACTGTGGAATCCTATCGCTCCTCAACAGGCCGGAAGGCAGCACGCGAATCACACTATTAGGCGCTCTGTAAACCTGCCACTGAGTCAAAGATAAGAATCAAGCAGGAAAGACAGAAAAGTTCAGCTCTGACTTCCTTCAGTCTTAAACCCTGGAAAACAAGGAAGCCTTCCAGTCCATCAGCACTGTAACAGGCCAAAGGTCTTCAGCGGGGGAGGGGGAGGAGGAGCCAGGACTAGGGCCACGGTAAAGCACCTGTCTGGATGAGCCACTCGGCCAGCAGGTTGACAGTCTGGGCCACAGCAGTGTAGTTCTCTGACAAGAGCTGAATCACATTCTCTGGAGAACCTCCTGCCTGAAAATACCTAGAAAACGAACAAATAAACTCTTACACTAGAATGAAGATAGACAGGCATAGGGTGGAGGACAACAGGGAGGTGGGTAAGGAGGAAGGTTATTAAGACTTTTTTTTGCCTGGCTGGGTGTGGCTCGGCAGTTGAGCATCGACCTAGGATCCAGGAGATCATGGTTCAATTCCCAGTCAGGGCACATGCCTGGGTTGCGGACTTGATCTCCAGTGAGAGTGTGCAGGAGGCAGCCTATCAATGACGACTCCTGTCATTGATGTTTCTATCTCTCTTTCCCTCTCCCTTCCTCTCTCTGAAATGAATAAAGATATATATTTTTAAAAAGTAAAATTTTTTATCGTTGTCTTTTCTTTCCTTTTTTTTTTTTTTTTACTATATCTTTATTGATATCAGAGAGGGAGAGTCAGAGATAGAAACATCAATGATGAGAAAGAGTCACTGATCGGCTGCCTCCCGCACACCTCCCACTGGGGATTGAGCCCGAAATCCAGGCATGTGCCCTGACTGAGAATTGAACCATGACCTCCTGGATCATAGGTCAATGCTCAACCACTGAGCCACACCAGACCGGCGGTTATTAAGACTTTCAAAGTGTGGAGGGGACCCCTGGAAGCCTTCCATTCCAGTATCATATCATTCTTACTTTCATAGGTCATCTTCTGGGTCTATTACAAAACTTTCTCTAAATTACCCCCACCCTCCTCCCAATGCAAATAACCCTTTTCACACACCGACCTCTTGAGAGTATTGAAGATGGAGGGCTCCATTATGTAGTCCCGGGTGGAAAACTTGTGGAGGCACTCCTGCTGGACCTCAGCATCGTCCTCTCCCTCCACATACTCCTCCTCCTGCTGGGGGTCATTTCTCCATTAACAAAAGATCGTGGAATCTCACTGTCAGTCTCTCTCACACTGTCCCCTTCAAAAGTATTCTACACACAGCACATTATTGTATGTGACATCCATGGGACTCTCATGGAGTGGGCTGGACAGTAATGAATGGCTAAGAAAATGGGATCCAGAATCACATCAAGTGGGTCTGTCTTAGACTCCACCCTGGAGAACCTGTGCACACGGTCACACAAGCCACCTTATCTCTGGAAACCTTCCCTGTTAAACAAAGGACATCATAGTACCTACTTCCATTTGGCTATTGTGAGGATTCCACAAGCTAATTTTTGGAAGAGCCAAGCATAGTACCTGACAGTAAGAGTTCAGTAGACTTTAGCTATTACTGTTTTTACTATTAGTATTTCCTACGTGCCATTTCACACTTTCCAACCAAGTCAATGTAGTGATTCTTGAAGGCATATGCCGCCAACCTGCTTTTAGAAAGTAAAGATCACTAACTTCCTTCGAACAGCCAGGCCTGCCTGGGTTCTAGTCCCCATTCTGCCTGGAAACCACCTTAAGCATGTCACTGAATCTAAGGACCGAGCAGCACGATGCTGTGATGACCATGGACCAAATGACCCCAGGGTCTATCCAGCTTTCACACTGCCATCCTAGTTAACAAGTATGTGCTTGTGAACACTTACTAAGCGCTGAGCACTGTATCACCAGGGAACCTAGGAAAATATAAGACAAGGTATGTCTCTTTCCACAGGAGTTCACAAATTAGTTGGAGAGACCAACCTCCACGCAACTGACTCTATGTAGGGCAAGAGCTGGGCCAGGACTAAGCGAACCTGGCCCAGGGCCAAATCTAGCCCTCTTCTTGTTTTTGTAAATAAAACTATATTGGAACAACAGCCACCCCCACTTTTTAACAACATAGTATCCATGGCTGCTTTCCCCCTAGAACAGCAGAGTTGAGTAGTTGTGAGAGACCTGAGTAGACTAAAATACTGACCATCTGGGCCTTCACAGAGAAGTCAGCCCACCCCTGTGGAGAGCTGGGAGTCCCCTCTGAGGCCATGTTTGATGGGGAGCCTGGAACAAGGCTGTGAAGGAAGGCCAGATTCACCCTGATGCTCCCCCACGTGCCTTAAGTCAGGCTTCTACCCTGCACTCTCTTCCCTCCTCCTCCACATTCTCCTGGGCCATGCCACCTCCCTGCCCACAAATCTAGAATTGAGCCTTGGTGAATTGACTGATGGATGGAGATCCATCTCTCTCTCCAGACTCAAGTATTCAGCAGTCTATTCTCATTTCCATTCAAATGCCTCACCAGCATTCGAAACTCATCCCATCCAAAACTGACCTCACCTTTTCCCTCTAAACAGATCTTTAGACAATCTGTATATATATATATTTTAATATATCTTTATTGATTTCAGAGAGAGGAAGGGAGAAGGAGAGAGAGAGAAACATCAATGATGAGAGAGTCACTGATCGGCTGCCTCCTGCACGCCCCTGACTGGGGATGGAGCCTGCAACCCGGGCATGTGCCCTGACCGAGAATTGAACCCCGACTGCCTAGATCCTAGGTCGACGCTCAATTGCTAAGCCATGCCCGGCCAGGCGACAATCCATATTTTAGTAAAATATTTCATATCTGCCTGTTACCCCAAACCTACAAACCTAGGCATCCTCCTCAATTTCTCCTCCCTCACTCCACCCCACAGCCTGTCACAGAGACCCATCAGTTCCATCTCCAGTTTATCAGTCCCATGTGGCCTTTCTCTGCATCTTTCCCTCCTTATTCTGTGGGTGTCAGGACCAACATTCCCCTAGTGACTCGGCCTCCCTCCTGCCCTTCAATCACCTTTCACAAGTATGTCACAGGAATTTTTAAAATTTTATTTTTTAACCCTCACCAGAGAATATGTTTACTACTATTATTATCCCTGACTTTAGAGAGAGAGAACGGAAGAGAAAACATCAATCTGTTGCTCTGGTAGGTGCCCCACATGGGATCAAACCACCAACCTAAGTATATGCCCTGACCGGGAATCGAACCAGCAACCTTCTGGTGCACAGACCACACTCCAACCGAGTGGCCTGGCCACAGGCATCTTCATAAGCCACAAAACTGACATCTCCTTCTTGCTTAACGTCTCCTCTCTTGCTCAGAAAACACATCCAAGCTCTAGCGTGATGTCAACCTTCCAGCTGCTCACCTGACCAGTCTCACGTCTCAATGGGTGACCAGACTGAACTGTTCAAAGTAGCTCTTAGCTTCCACCACGTGGACTTCACACCATGTCTCTCTGCCTCCCACCATCCGCAAACACGGCCCCCCGGGAACAGGATTTGGGTCACAAAAATGGACCTAGCAAAATCTTCCAAAACTCAGCTCATGCCCCGCCCCCACCTTTCTTGACCTCCTCCCCCTCCCTGAGCAGGTAGAGTGGGGTGCAGCTAGGCTCCGCCACGCCTCCTGCGCAAGCGCGGGGGGGCCC